TTTAGTTACCCCCCCCCCCCCCCCAGTTAGAGTGAGTAAAAGTTAATGGCTGGTTTGCCCTACAGTTATATAGCACATTTTCTTTTTCTGAGGGTTCCTTTTCCTCTGAGAGTTTTGCTGTTTTGTTCTGAGCGATGAATATACCCTTGGAACAGATGCAATGGTGACTTCCACAGTTTGAGAGAGCAGGACATCTGAAAGTGTGAAGCATGGCTATCTCTTTGTTTTTTGTTATTTATCTCAAGTTTTTAAAAAACAGTATTTGAAGGTATCAGTAAGTCTGCAGTACCAGGTAAAACTTGAAGGACATTGGAACTGCATTTGAGGTTACTGTGTTGCAAATGCAGTTCAGTCAACAAATTCTCGCCCTAATGTATTATTGCCACCTTAAAAACATCTTTGAGACAAGAGTATCTATAAGCTTTTAATTTATTGGGGTATTTGGGTTTGGTGTGTGTTTTTTGTTTTTTTGTTGTTGTTGTTGGGTTGGTTTTTCGGGATGTTTTTTTTGTTTGGTTTTAGGGTGGTTTTTTTAAGTGGTAATCAGGGCAGGCTCTAAAGCTTTGTGCATTTTGGGTTTGAAATAACCATAGGTTTTAAAATTTTATTTTTGTACAATGTATGTTACAGGTTTTAAACAATCCTCATCCTCATGTGAAGTCACTGTTATCTAGTGTAGCGTGTTCATTATACTACTTTTACAACAGAAGACTTCTAATGAGGCTTTAAATCTGATCATTGTTTTCAGTAAGCAAGAAGTTTTATGTCAATATTTAAGAATTGTTTGTATGCCCTATGATAACTGTAAGGAGTTTTAGGTAGTACTACCAGCATTGATGTAGAGTTTTATCTAAGGCAATATTGGTAGACATATAAGGGAAATCATTGTAGTTTCAAAATATATTTCAAAACTGTATCTGCTCAAAAGAATGGTATTCATAAAATATATTCTCAAAAGAGTAGTATTTAGGCTAAGAATTATTGTTGCTCTTATTTACCTCAAAAATGCATTTTTTGTTTCATTACTTCTGTGAACTTGATGAGTGTGATTCCTGTAACATTTCCTTAGGGTAATGAAAGCAGGATTACATCTTCATATTCATCAGAACTTCATGAACAGAATTTTTCATTATATGTGGTCAGAATAGACTATTGTTTTGAAGCATTGCCCTATTCTGAAAGATGACTATCTAAAAATAGTATTGCTTTGCCCAAAAGATCTTTTTTCTATGTTTATTCAGTCATCTCTGCAACTATAGCAACAAATGTACTCATAGCGATGAATACCTTATTATTATAGCTGAAAGAGCAAGCTGGGTTTTCTTTGCATCAATGACAAATGTCTTGACAGGGTTTAGCAACTCTGTGTGCAGCACAGCAGGGTCTGCAGGGAGACAAGGAATTCCTTTTAGCTTCTAAGTCTGCTTGTATTCAGATTGACTCACCATACCCATCAATCCATCTTCAGAGATGGTGGCAGCTGAATGGCTGCTAAAGAACTGACAAATGGGACCTGCTTAGGCAGATCTTTTCCTTATGTTTAATTAGCTGTTTTTCTTGTTCTTCTCCAAGAACAGCGGGATCCTTTCATCTTTAAAAAGCATCTAACAGGATCCTTCCTTTCTTGACTAGAGGTTCTTAAAGATTTACACCCTTGAGTGGTCCCAGAAAAGCTGTGTGTTTTCTTAAGTGTAGGTTTCTTCTCTACCTCCAGTTCTTGTATTTCACTGACAGAAGATGTAGCTTCTCAGGTCATCCCCAAGGCTTGTTACTTTCAAAGAAAGATCAATGGACATGGCAGTCTTTGGCAGCAGGTAAGATGGATCTCTGATTGCACTAGCATATTCAAGACTGAAGAAGTGGAAAACCCATACCACTGGTCAGAACGTGTTTCATCAAAATTCTTGGAGTATGTCTTGGACTGCTTTTCTTTTTGAAGCATAGCTGGGTTTTGCTTAGGGTCAAGAAAAGAATCAAGTGTACTTCTGAATTACCACAGCTGGAACCACACATCACATCTTATTTTTGTTTTGAGAAACTTCAATTTCTGAAATGTTTTCCCAAGACGCAGTTTGAACCTCACAAAAGTAAATATTGTAGACTTCTCCCTTCACAGCCTCCCTCCATCATTCCTTTCTATGACCTGAATTAAGACATAGTGTTCCATATTGAAAGCTGTCATTGGCCATTCTTCTTATTAACAATAGCATGTATCAGTAAATGTGTGTTAGCTTGGGTGGATTGTAGGAAGATTACTCAAAAAAAAGGCCAGGAGTCTCAGCACTATATTTGATAGCAGAATAAGTGGCTAAAACTTTTAATTATACTGGGAAAAACTAATGTTGTCCATATAGGTTTAGTTATTTTCAGTGACAATGTGGAAGTAATTACTTGAAAGAGCAGTAAACTTTGTACTGTGTTATATAATATGTCCAATAATGAAATTGTTCTTAGAGTTATGGATTTGGGACTTTAATACCAGAGTTAGAGTACTGGCTGTTTTTTTTCCTAGTCTGAAAATCAATTTACTGTGAGATGACATGCACTTTTAAAGTACAATTTTAAAGTATGGCAGCATTTATAGTTGTGCCTTGACATTTGTTGTTGGTACTAGATTTTGGAAAGAAGGGCTATATCTTTACAATGGTATATCTTTATAATGTTGTCTTGAAAGTTATCTTAGGATGTTTTAATGGACTTTTGTTTGGATTTTATAAGACTGAGTTTTGGTGGTAAGAGGAAGAAAAGAAAGGGACAGTCACTTGGGGACGCGTTGTATATTCTCAGAATCTCTCAAAATGTTAGCTTGTTGAATTTTGATATTGATGGAGAAAGCAGTATCACTAAATTTGCCTGCCTGTATAATCAAAGAATCATTAAACATAGTTTACTCTTTTAGTGTTAGCTGGGAACATGTACTCTGTGAGCGATTTTGCCTTTTAATATAACTTC